TCTCTGATTTCCTCTCCCTTGATCACTCCAGTCACATGATTCCTCATTATTTAATTCAACATCAGGTACACTTCAACCTCAACACCGTTGCACCTGTTATTTTTTCTGCCTAGTATACTTTGCTCTTCTCCCTGATAGCCACATGACTTGCCCTGTCATTTCTTTAGATGGTACCCTCCAGCATTCCCTTTCCCCATTCCTTGTCTTATGTTTCACCATAGCATGTACTATATATTTTATTCTTTGTTTATTATCTGTCTCCTTCTTCTACAGTGTAAGCTCCATGAGGGCAGGCATTTTTTTTATGTTTTGTTCATTTCTATATCCTCAGCACTTCAAAAAACAATATTGGACAAATAGTGTGCATTTATTAAATATTTCCTGAATAGATTAATGAAAGATTGATTGATTTTAAAAGTGATGGGTGAATTGCAGGGTACTAAGGGAAAATACAGCAAAGGGCTTAATCTAACCTAGACAATAAAGGAATGCCTCTGTGAGGAATGTATGGTTAAGCCAAGACCTAAATAAGAAGTAGGAGATAATCAGGAACAAAGGCAGAACCAGAATCAACACACATATGGCAGAATTAAGTACAGAAGATACAAGAATCTAAAAGATGTCACATGTGATGGGTGCATACAGTGCAAAAGATAAGCTTTTAAGAGAGAAACAAAGTCCAGCTATTTAAAAGATTTAAATGAGTAGCCATTCAAGAGCATTTAAACACAGCATATGATCACACCTGTACTTTTGAAAGATCACTCAAGCTGTAGTGTCCAAAATTAATTGGACAGAACCAAGACTGGCTCTATGGAGTTCAATTAGAAGGTTGATGAAGTAATCCAGAATAGACGATGGTAACTGGAACTTGGTGTTAGCATGAGGAAAGAAAGAAAGAAGTAAATGTATCAGAAAGATGTTTAAGTAACTTCTCTGTAGCTGTATTTATCTAGAATTGACTCCAAGTTCTTAGCTTGAGAAACAAAGTGAAAAAGGCCAGCACTTTCACAGGCATGAAAAAAATGAAGAATGAGAAGTTTACAGCAAGAGTCAGCAAACTTTCTGAATGGGCCAGATATTAAATATGTCAGGCTTTCTGGGCCTACAGTCTCTGCCACAATTATTCCATGAGCATGGCTGTGTTCCAGTAAAGCTTTATTTACAAAAACAGGTGTGCATGGAGCCATGGTTTGCCAATGCCTGGTTAGAGAGAAATGATGAGGTCAGCTTTTAACTTGTTACTTGCAAGGTGTCTCACGGGCATCAACTGAATACGCAGTTCTGAAGTTCAGAAGAGAGATCTTGAAGAGATTTATAGGTTTGAGATTGGGGGGCGGGAGTGGGTTGGGAGAGGTCAATGGGGGGAAAAGGAGATATATGTAATACTTTCAACAATAAAGAATTAATAAATGAATGAATGACGAAAAAATACTTCGGATTGCTCAGGGTGAGTTTGTACAATAAAAGAAAATGTCCTGCCCTAGTCCATTTGGCTCAGTGGATAGAGCATCGGCCCGCAGACTGAACGGTCAAGGATTCAATTCTGAGTCAAGGAAACATACCTCGGTTGCAGGCTTGATCCCCAGCCCCAGTCAGGGTGTGTGCATGAGGCAACCAATCGATGTGTCTCTTTCATATCAATGTTTCTCTCTCTCTGTCTCTCCCCCTCCCTTCCACTCTCTCTAAAAATCAGTGAAAAAATATTCTCAGGTGAGGATTTAAAAATTGTCCTACCAGAACCCAGAATAAAACCAGCATTTAAGTAATAAAGATAGGAAGAATGATCAGCATGAAAACTAAGAAGGAACATTCAAAGCAAGCCTAAAAATACAAAAACAAAACTAGAATTGAGGAAAGTGCCAGAAGTTGAATATTTCAAGAAGAAAGGAGTGACCAAGAGACTCAAATGCTTCAAAGAGATGGAGATAATAATAGAATTAAAAATGATATACTGAGGCCCTGGCCAGGTAACTCAGTTGGTTAGAGCATCATCCCAATACACCAAGATTTCAGGTTTGATCCCCAGTCAGGGCACATACAAGGAGCAACCAATGAATGCATAAATAAGTGGAACAACAGAGTGATGTTTCTCTCTCTCTCTCTCAAATTAATAAATTTTTTAAAAAATTAATAAAATATACTGGATTTAGTGAGAGGGAGAGGTTGCTGGTAGCCTTTGCAAGAGAAATATAAGTGGGAATGAAGAAAGAAGCCAGACCAGTAAAGATTAAGTGTGTGTGTTTGGGGGGGAGGGTGAACAGACTAAGAAGTACAAATGACAATTATAAAAAGTCAATGCAATGTAAAGTATAGCAGAGGTAATATAGTCAATAATCTATAATAATAAAAGGGTAATATGCTAATTAGACCAGACGTCTTCCGGACATCATTCCAGACATCCTTCCTTACAAAGCCGCGGCCCTGGGGAAGCCAGCCGGGGTCCCGGGTACTTGTGGGCGGCGTGGGTGAAGCCAGCTGGGGTCCCAGGGGTCTGTGGGCGGCCTGGGGGAAGCCAGCCAGGGTCCCCGGTGCCTGCTGGCAGCTGGAGGAGGGAAGCCTGCCAGCAGCTGGAGGAAGGAAGGCCTACTCTTGCACAATTTTTCATGCACTGGGCCTCTAGTCTATATATATAAAAGCTTAAATGACCATTATGGCAGAACAACCAGAATGACCTGAATGACTGGTCGCTATGACGTGCACTAAGCAGTCAGGCAGGCAAGCAGTTAGGGGCGAGCAGGTGGGCAGGCAGGCGAGCGGTTAGGGGTGAGCAGGCAGTCAGACAGGTGAGTAGTTAGGGGCAAGCAGGCAGGTGAGTGGTTAGAGGTGAGCGGTCCCGGATTGCAAGAGGGATGTCTGACTGCCAGATGTTCAACTGTAGGGACTGGGCCTAAATCAGCAGTTGGACATCCCCCGAAGGGTCCTGGATTGCGAGAGGGCGCAGGCTGGGCTGAGGACCGTCCCCCCTTGCATGAATTTCACGCACTGGGCCTCTAGTCCTATATAACAAAAGCCTAATATGCTAAGTGTCCAGTCGTCCATCCAACCAATCAAAGTGTAATATGCTAATGATATGCTAAGGCAGCTCAACCGCTCACTATGACATGCACTGACCACCAGGGGGCAGACAGTTGACCGGTCAACCAGTTGCTATGACGTACACTGACACTCTGACCCAGGGGTGGGCAAACTTTTTGACTCGAGGGCCACAATGGGTTCTTAAACTGGACCGGAGGGCCGGAACAAAAGCATGGATGGAGTGTTTATGTGAACTAATATAAATTCAAAGTAAACATCATTACATAAAAGGGTACGGTCTTTTTTTTTTTTTTTTTAGTTTTATTCATTTCAAACGGGCCGGATCCGGTCCGCGGGCCGTAGTTTGCCCACGGCTGCTCTGACCGGTAGGTTAGCTTGCTGCTGGGGTCCGGCCAATCTGAATTGAGTGAGACAGGCCAGACACACCCTGGAGCCCTCCTGTGGTCCCTTCCAGGCTGGCCAAACTCCTGCATCCCTCCCTGGCCCCAATCGTGCACCGTGGAGTCGCTTGGCCTGGTGTGCACCCTCTCGCAATCCAGGACCCCTCAAGGGATATCAGAGAGCCGGTTTCAGCCCAATCCTGCAGGCCAGGCCGAGGGACCCCACTGGTGCATGAATTCGTGCACCGGACCTCTAGTATTATAATAACTCTATATAATATCAGATGGGTACTAGAGATATAGGGGTGATCACTTCATAAATTACATAATGCCTAATCATGTTGTACACCTGAAGTTAATATAATATTGTATGTCAACTGTATTTTAAAAATAAATAATTTTTTAAAAGATTAAGTAAGAAGTATAGAAATGAGTGTGAGAAGAATTCTTCTAAGACATGTTGGCTGTGAAATGGAAGAGGGAACTAAGATAACAACTGAAGAGAGACAAGAGTTATAGTGTTCTATGAAGAGAAGGAACACATATTTCTTTCCATTAAACTGGAAACACAATCATGTGAGGGATCATGGGTATTTCATTTATCACCACATCCTTACCACTTAGCCAGGTATCAGTACATTTCTTGAGTGACTGAGCATTTTTTATCTCAATTGTAAAGGAAAGGAGCTAAAAGACAAGGAGAGCTTTAAGATACGGAACAGAGAAAAGTTAATCAGTGAAGACTGTAGTTCCTAAAGGCTATAAAGGTTATGGGGGGGGGGGGGGGGCGGGAATGGATGAATAAAGATTTAGGTAAATATGAGCAAGAAGCTGAAAATATTTTTCTTCTTTAATTTTTTTCAATTACAGTTTACATTCAATATTATTTCATATTAGTTTCAGGTGTAAGCATAGTGCTTTAGAAGGAAGCTAAAAATTTTATTAACCAGGGACCAAGCTTGCTAGCTATCCTGCAATGCATGAAATGATCCTGCACAAAGAATTCCCCAGTACAAGAAGGAACAATAAGAAACACCATTCTTGCAGACTAACTCCAATCATAAGGTTAAAAGTCTACATAGGGTTGGGGGTGGGGACAAGGAAATGGACACACTCCAATGTCTGCATTCTGCCTTAGAAGCCTTTGCCTACAGAAGCTGCTTGCTAGTTAAGGAGTTATGATTGGGATCTATAGTCATTCACAGTTATACCACTTTCCACCAGAGCATATTTACATTGCACATTTTATGCATATGAACGGAAGCTCACTATAAAGATATACAGAACATCAGAGGGTTTCAAATATTAAATATATACCACCATCAAATAACATCCAGAGGTTTGACAGCACATTTTTAAATCACTAAGTTTTTTCCTGTGAAAGTATGAGCCAATATCGATCATTAAATACAATGCTTAAGTGGCTTCTTCCTCTTTTTAACTTATGCCATTTAATATAATTCAAGTGTAAACAGCATTGACATTTTTTATCCACACATGTATATTTATAAAAGCAAGAACTGCATTTTATCTTACACTGAGAACATGTGCTATAAAGACTAAAGTAAAATAGTTTCTCACCTTGACTACTCCATCAAAGCCAGGAATTGTGTTAACCTTTGCTTTCTTAGCTAGTAATTTGCTTTCAATCTTGTCACCCATAGCTTGAATAGCATGTGTGTCAGGTCCAATGAAAATGACATTTTCTGCTGCCTGTGGAGAAATAAAGTAGAAATTTGTAACAAAAACATTATGGTGCTTGATATGGAGTCACAATTTTTAAAAAGAAAGACCTATATATAAACTTACTAATTATTTACATATCAAAAACAACTTGAAAGTAAGCATTTCAGCCAATACATTAAAATATATAATATTGCATCGTATATAGTAAATTTGCACAAAGATTTATGAAACAAAATTTAGATCAAGGAAAAATAAAAACAATAAGAACTCTTGCTTGATATTAACAGTATTCTTTGGGAAAGCAACTTCGATGGCATTATCTCTATAAAAATAATAAAAGTATAATATGCTAATTAGACCAGATGTCCTTCTGGATGAAGCTGGGGCTGTGAGGGAAGCCCAGGTCCCGGGTGCCAGAGGGAAGCTGGTGCCGGCAGCCGGGGGAAGGAAGGCCTACTCTTGCATGAATTTCGTGCCTCGGGCCTCTAGTTTATATATAGTACCCTACGACCCAATCTAAACAGTAAGTTTACTTTTTAAATGACTTATAAATCTTTGTATTCTCAATACAGCACAATGCATAGTTCAACACAAATATCCATTTTTATTGAATACCAACTCTGGGCCAGGCTCTGTGCTAAATGTAGGGGATAATATAAATGAAAATCACAGGATATCAGCTAATTCAAGGGAATGTGAACAGATCACCAATACCTCAGAGAAATAGACAAAATACAGAATGTTTATATCCTTGTGACTACGATAAATAAGTCAAGAATACAGTGGGAATTTACCAGATGGAGTTATGGTTTCAATAAAAATTTCTCTGCATAAATCCAGAAGTGGATCCATATCTCTGTGTTTATATAATAAAAGCATAGTATGCAAATTGACTGAAAGACCGAACAGCAGAACGACCATCTGGACAAACTTCCGGACAACCACACTATGACACCCACTGGTGCCAGGCCAGCCAAGGCAGGTGCGATGCGATTGTTTGGGGGACCAGCCATCGCCCCAGGATTGCCCTGCAGAGGGAGGACCAGGCCACCGACCGGCGGGCTGCGGTGGGTGGGAGGAGCCTCCCTCTGCGGGGGTGATCCATTGAGGAGCCCCAAGTGGATGGGAGGGGCCTACATCTTTGGGGTGATAGATCACGGGGCTCCCAGACTGTGAGAGGACACAGGCCGGGCTGAGGGACCCCCCCACCCTGAGTGCATGAATTTCATGCACCGGGCCTCTAGTATTATAACAAACAAAATGCTAATGAAGAAAATACTAATTAGGGAACAAAAAATACTACTCCCTCTGTCCCATAATCATAGTAGCAGTTGATGAATGTAATTTGTCCCATAATAATAATAGCAAACGAAAATAAATATAGAACACATTATCAAAAAACTAGATTAAATTAAACAATAAATTAAAAAATAGTACTCCTAATTTTTATTTTGAGTGTTCAGATAGTTTCTGGATTTTTCAATAATTTCGTTACTGCATTTTAAGCTTGTAGGTAGGATCCCTTGGCTGCAAAGCTTTGCTTTCCCTATAGGCGTGAGCTTAAAATTATTGGAGCCATCGTTCTTCATTGCTTCCAGCATAACTTGTTGAAGTGACAGAAACGTATTATCCAGTATTTCGGGAGAAATATCATCAAAGGCTAATATGGTGCCTCTTCTGCTAAGAGGAATATGTCCAAGTTTTTCAAGTTTTTCTCCATAATCTTTGCATTTACGATCACAGTTTCGGTTTTTCAAAGAATCAACATTAGCATAAGATTCTCCATGACAATTATTTTCAGAAGCACGTTTGCAAATTGTTGATATGGTCATTCTGTTGCACTTAAACTGTTTTGCAGCTAACGTAATTGCACCTTTCTGCAACTTTTCCTTTTTCTTTTGATGCATCAAGAGCTGGACAATCGCAACTCGATTTTTGCTTGAAAACTCTCTTTTTTTCCTCTTACTTTTACAATGGGTTGATATTCAACTGAAATAAAACAATTGATTTCGATCAGATGAAATTAGAAAAATAGTTGTAATTCATAATAATTAGATTAACCTAAAAATTGAAAGATGTGTTAAAACAATGACAGGTGTCATGAAACATTGATCTTGATTGAAGGCTTTGCAATTTTGTGCTACAACGTTAACTTATAGCTGCATTCGCCAATAATTCCCGTTTAAATATTCACTTGCTACTATTATTATGGGACAGAGGGAGTATGTAATTAATGCTATTATAGGGCATAGTTTAGAGAAGTAAAAGAGGGTTTTGCAGAGGTACAAAAATGAGGTCATTAGGTAAAGAATTGAGGTTAAATATGAAGAAGACTAGATTGTATGCTGGGCATCATCAGAGTAAGGTGCCTAACTGCTGATTTTCCCATGACCTTCAGTCAGCATAAAGGATAAATAGCGCATTTTACATGTCATATTCTATCTATTGGCATTGCTGCCTGAAAGGACTTTTGGCTTAGGACAGGAGCTTCATTCTCCTGATGAGAATATTACCCAGAAAACCTACTGCAATGCAGTGTGTTACTTAGATCGCTCTCTCAGCCATTATGGTCCAAGCAGATTAAATCCACCCTTAGGAGGAGGTGAAAGTAGAACAGAGAAGCAACAAAAGGAATATCTGAGGAGACAAATGTGTGGTAAATGAGATGATGACTTCAACTTTGCACACGCTGAGTGCAGATGCCTGTGAGGTAGTCAGGTGGCCATATTCAGGAGGCAGGGAGAGAAGTCTAGAGGTTATAAGTCCAGGCTGACATATGGATTTTTAAAGGCATCCAATGTAAGGAGGCAATTAGAAGTTGTACCTGAAATCATTCAGATAAAATGTGTATGAAAGCTAATGCCTTTAAATCAGGACGTAGTTTCTCCCACCCCCCATCCAAAAGCAAGACACAAGAAAGAGGCATTTTTAGATTCTGAGTTTAAAGCATCCTTTTCTTTGTGTGACAATGAGGATAATAACCACTTGCAAGTTTGATTGAAGGACTGTATAAAATAATAATGTAAAAATACCAAGCTGAGTGCCACACTTAGTTCTTGTCCCCGGTCCAGAAGTCCTGATAAAAAGAGAGCACTAGAATAAGACAGTGAGGTTCTCCGGATCCCAAAATACACTACAGGAACCCAAAATACCTACAATTACCAGTGTCACAAATGGCAGAATGCTAGATAAGAAAACTTTCAGCCATAGAGGATGCTACATCAAATGTTTGTGTAATTTTAATAGTAGAACCTTATCTTACAAGTCTGATTGAAAGATTTTTTTAAAAAAATTACCAAAAAACTAAACAAAATATCAAACACAATGAAAGCGGAGCTGCTCTGTAAGAGGGGAAGTGGTGGTAGGCCAACATCTCCACATACTCTATGTCTCCATCTGGATAAGCTAGTCATTTTAGACCACAGCAATAATCATATTCATTTCTTTTTATCCCAAATCTACAATCCACTAAACACTAAGTCAAGAGAAAATAATCATGTTTCAACTATCAATTGTCTTTACATATTCTCATTTGACAATCTAAAATGAAGGAATTTTTATTATAAATGCTGTTTTAAATACCACTTGCCAGGCAGATGTAATCAAGTAATCAGAATGCCTACATTGACAAAGAGTTGAAGAATATAAATGAGAACACCTAAAATACATTATGATTATACAGTAAAACTTCTGATTAACAAGAGCCCAAGGACTAGGAACCACTGATTTACCAGATTTTTCTCAAGCATTTTAATTGGAAGAAAATTACCCCCAAATGCAAAATTACCAGGAGAAAAGGCTCACATCAAGTACTTAGTGACTATTCTTTGTCTATTCAACACAATAAAAAATAGCCAGTAGTAAGCTGGGTAACTACTTGAATTGATGTTTCAATGAACTAACTTCCTATATATCTATGTATTTTGGTAGTACTCCCTGGGTTAGCCTTTAAATGGAATTAAAGCAAAATTAAAAAGCAGTATCCTGCCCTGGCCAGGTAGCTCAGTTGGTTAGTTGAGCCATGGTTGCTGGTTCAATCCCCAGTCAAGGCACATACAAGAAGCAATCAATGAACACATAAGTAAGTGAAACAACAAATCAATGTTCCTCTCTCTGTCCAAAATCAATCAATAATTTTTTTTTAAAAAAGCAGTATCCTAGCTGACTCCCATAATTCTTTGACCAAAAAAGCAAGGATGAGGTCAGAATAAGACAGTATGGTAATTGCAAAGTGATGGAGCATGTTTCAAAAATCCTGAGTTCTTTACCAAATTCATTTGTGTGATTTAGAACTTAAGGCCAGAATTTACCCACTAGTAACTTTTTGATACACTTCTGTTAATACTGTATCTTTTGTCATCCATCTAATTATCCATTTACCTTAAGTACTAGTGAGTCTTTTTAACATGGCTTAGCAATAAAATTTACTTCTAAAAATATACTTTTTAAGAATCTTTGTAACTTTACCATAAATTATAAATATAATATCTAGCCGAAACCGGTTTGGCTCAGTGGATAGAGCGTCGGCCTGCGGACTGAAAGGTCCCAGGTTCGATTCCAGTCAAGGGCATGTACCTGGGTTGCGGGCACATCCCCAGTAGGAGATGTGCAGGAGGCGGCTGATCGATGTTTCTCTCCCATCGATGTTTCTAACTCTCTATCTCTCTCTCCCTTCCTCTCTGTAAAAAATCAATTAAAAAAAATATATATATATATAAATATAATATCTAAATATAGATAAATGTCTTTCAGTCATGAAAAAAATGGGCATTTTTTCATCATCATTGGAAAACAATTTAAGAAATTTTGAAAAGCTGAAATCATTACTATAAGATTTTCTTTATTTTCTAAATTCTGTGATTTTATGGTTCTGCTCTAATTTTGAAAGAAGAATGGGAAAAAGGGTTGGTTTTTGAGAATTATGTTAGGGAAATAATGAGATTTAATTTACAATTGTCTTTATGTTATAAATGAAAGACAAATAATCTTCATCTGTAAAACTTAAATGTGTGACACATAATTCATTCTTAAAAATACCAAAACAGTAAATTGCTATACTATGAATTCAGATTTTGTTATTAAAAGCATACACTTTTTAGACTCACCAAGAATTAATACTTGAATAACTGTAAAACCAGTGTAAAAATGAGAGAGAAAGCCATGGAAAACCTGCTGAACTGCCCAAAGGACCCCGACTCTGAACTTGAATGTATTTCCTGCTAAAAGAAAAAAGGGTTTCTGATAGAAAAGGTTAGTTCAAGAATTGGTGCAGCACGTGACATAAAAACACTGAATCAGAGAGAAAGCTTTCAAAATAGTTCTCAAAAGTACATAGTTGCAGATAGAAAGGGCTACCCACGGAATATGGTGATAACAATATGAGCATCAAAAAGAATAATTAAAGACATTACAAGGTTAATTCATTTTTTTAGGACCTCAGAATAAATCTTTTCCTGCTATTGCTATCTCAATTGAACTTCTTGACATGTATCACTAATTTTAAAACATATGTACCTCTTTTAAAAGCAACATAGAGTAAAACTAATTTCACATGTAAGACTAAACAAAATATCAAGGTAAAATCCCATTCAATGTTTTTATAAGGAAAAAAAAAAAAGACTAGAATAAAACCCATGGAGAAAAAAAGCACAAAAGAAAGACATGCCTACACAATATCAAGATTTTTACCTATTTTAAAACAACTAAAAGACATTTTAAAATTATATAATGCCCTAACCGGTTTGGCTCAGTGGACAGAGCATCAGTCTGCGGACTGAAGGGTCCCGGGTTCAATTCCGGTCAAGGGCATGTACCTTAGTTGCAGGCACATCCCCAGTAGGAGGTGTGCAGGAGGCAGCTGATTGATGTTTCTCTCTCATCGATGTTTCTAACTCTCTATCCCTCTCCCTTCCTCTCTGTAGAAAATCAATAAAATATTTTTTTTAAAAAAATAAAATTATATAAAACATGAAATAACATAAATCAGAATTGGAAATGCTTAAAAGTGAGGTGACAGACCTCAGGATAGAATAAAAAATGAAAAAAAAAACTCATTTCAGAAATAATGACTAAATTAGAGGGAATATAAGAGTCAATAGAGAAAATAAATAATGCCTAAACAAGAAATAGAAAGTGAAAGGAGAAAACTATCTACAAATTTAGATATTAAAAAAACGAAGAAACTTTTAAAATATTCAAGAGAAAATGGCAAACACTAAAGATAAACAAAAAGCACCCTTCATATAGAGCAAGGAGTCTTTGAAGAAAACTAAAGCAAATTAAAATACAAAAACTATAATTCAAGAACTTTCTTAAAACTGAAAATACCTATCTAAAGAGTATACTATAGCATACCTGAGAAATTCAACCCAGAATGACCATGATATATTTTAGTAATGTTATTTAAGAAAAAGGGATGAAGAAATATGACATGTTATTGTGTATACTTTTTAAATTATCACCCAACTTTGACAGCAATAATTCATGCCTGAGGAAAACTGAATGTACTCCACTGAATAAGATATTCAAGAAAAGAAAGTATGAAACGAAGATTTTAAATCCAATAAAAACAAGTATAAAGGTCAGAGAAACTATAACAAGAACTCATGACTTCTTTCTGAGGAACCTAATAGGACAGGTTTGCAAACTACTGTCTGTGGGACAAATCTGGCCTGCTACCTATTTTTGTACAGTCCACGATCGAAGAATAAATTTTACATTTTTTGTTGTTTTAAAAAAACAATTTTTATAAATACTATATAATGATATGTGACAATTATATAAAACTGAAAAACAGTTTTATTTAAGACCATCGGGCTCATTAGTTTACATTTTGTATGACTACGTTCTCACTACCAGGATAAGACTGAGTACAAGAGATCGTATGGCTTACAAAGACAAAAATATCTGCTGTCTGGCCCTTTACAGAAAAAGTTTGTCCACTCCTACACTACAGGATAAGCTTCAGGAAACCAAAATGACTACAGACATCAACAGAAAGGGCGTGTGGTTATTTGTAAAACAAAAATTAATGAAGTCTAAGGAAAGAATACACTATATAATAGCTATATTTTCTGACAATATACATATAGTACAACTATTTTTAAATGAGGAAAAAAGATGATGTGTAAAACTTTAATATTTTCAGTAATATTAGTATTTATATTGTCATTATGAAATTGCTATGTGTGCACTTCAGACTAGATAAGTAGTTATGAATCAGAATTCTAAATAAGGAATAATGAAGATACAGAGGTAACAAAAAAGAATTTAAGTAAAAGTTCTGCAATCTTGAATTTTTATTAAAAGTATCACTAATGAGTTATTTGTGCCTCATTAAAAAATATAGACTATATTTAATCATACTTTTATTACATGCTAGAAAAAATCTTTTATTTTATTGATATAACATGTTTATTATATATTAAACTTGTGTTACATAATTTGGGGTTGGGATGAGCATTATTATATTACATATATTGAATATACTGACATTACATATTCTGTTAAGGTAACACATAGTTAACACAACACGTGCTATCCTATCTAATAAAAGAGAAACATGGTAATTGGCGTACGACCGCTACCCTTCCCATTGGCTAATCAGCGAGATAGGCAAATTAACTGCCAGCCGAGATGGCGGCCGGCAGCCAGGCAGCTTGAAACTAACATGGGGCTTGCTTGCTTCAGTGACGGAGGACTCCAACGTTCCCCGCCTGCCTTGCCGGCCTCTGAGCTTGCAGTTTAAGAAACATTGTAACAAATATAGAAGCTAAACAAAACCCCAGAAACCTGCTTTCAGCTAGCCCGGGATCTCAGAGCTGGAGTTGATACAGAGTTTCGATTATAGAACCGAAACAAACCAGATACCTTCTTTCAGCAGCAGAGGCCTCAGAGCTGGAGCCAGAGCTAAAGCTGGCCCAGAATAAAAAAAAAAAAAAAAGAAAAAAAGGAGCAGTTGGGAGCTTCAGTCAGCCTGAAAACAGCCCTCAGCCCCTCACCCAGGCTGGCCAGGCACCCCAGTGGGAACCCCCACCCTGAAGGGTGTGTGACCAGCTGCAAACAGCCATCAGCCCCTCACCCAGGCTGGCCAGGCACCCCAGTGGGGACCCCCACCCTGATCCAGAACACCCTTCAGGGCAAACCAGCCAGCCCCACCCATGCACCAGGCCTCTATCCTATATAGTAAAAGGGTAATATGCCTCCCAGCACCGGGATCAGCGGAGCCGAGAGGCCTCCCAGCACCGGGATCAGCGTGACAGGGGGCAGCGCCCAAACCCCCTGATTGTCCTTCGGCTTTGTGTGTGACAGGGGGCGGGGCCACAACCTCCCTATCCGCCCTGCTCTGTTCCTGACAGGGGAAGGCGCCCCAACCCCCTGATCAGCCCTGCTCTGTGCCTGATAGGGGGAGCTCCCCAACCCCCTGATCGCCCTGCGGCTCTGTGAATGACAGGGTGCGGCGCCCCAACCCCCTGATCTGCCCTGCTCTGTGTGTGACAAGGTGCGGCGCCCCAACCCCCCCTCCCCCCCCACGGGCCCTGCTCTGTGTGTGACGGGGTAGAGCCATAACCTCCCCATTGGCCCTGCCCTGAGTGTGAGAGTGGCGGCGCCCCAAACACCTGATCGGCCGTGCTCTATGGGTGATAGAAGGCGACGCTCCAACCCCCTGATGCACCCTGCCCTGAGTGTGACAGGGGCGGTGCCCCAACTCCCCTATCGGCCCTACTCTGTGAGTGACAGGGGGGAGCTCCTCAACCCCCTGATCGGCCCTGCTCTGTGCATGACAGGGTGGAGCTCCCCAACCCTGATTGACCCTGCTCTGTGCGTGACAGGGTACGGAGCCCCAACCCCCCTGATGGGCCCTGCTCTGTGCGTGACAGGGTACGGAGCCCCAACCCCCCTGATGGGCCCTGCTCTGTGCATGACAGGGTACGGAGCCCCAACCCCCCTGATGGGCCCTGCTCTGTGCGTGACAGGGGGTGGTGCCGCAACCTCCCCATCGACCCTGCCTTGAGTGTGACAGGGGGCGGTGCCCCAACCCCCCAATCGGCCCTACCCTGAGCGTGACTGAGGGTGGCATCGCAACCTCCCAATCTGCCCTGCTCTGTGCATGACAGGGGGCGGCGCCCCAACTCCCCAATCGGCCCTGCTCTGAGCCCGACCAGGGGCTGCACCTAGGGATTGGGCCTGCCCTCTGCCACCCGGACAGGCCTAAACCAGCAGGTCGTTATCTCCCAAGGGGTCCCAGACTGCGAGAGGGCACAGGCCGGGCTGAGGGACCCCCCCCCCCCCCGAGTGCACAAATTTTTGTGCACCGGGCCTCTAGTCCTATATAATAAAAGGGTAATATGCAAATCAACCTAATGGTAGAACAACCAGTCACTATGATGCACAGTGACCACCAGGAGCTGCCCCCTAGTGGTCAGTGCACTCCCACAAGGGGAACGCTGTTCTTTGCTGGCTAGTGCAGGGGCGGCAGCGGGAGCTTCTTCTGCCTCTGTGGCAGCACTAAGGATGGCCGACTGCCGGCATAGGCCCGCTCCCATCAGTTGGACATCCCCTGAGGGCTCCCAGACTGTGAAAGGGTGCAGGCCGGGCTAAGGGGACCCCCACACACACACCCTGAGTGCATGAATGTGGTGCACCAGGCCTCTAGTATGTAATAAACATATGTAACATAAAACATTTTTAAAAACCTATTAATATACATTTCTTTTTCCTAGCCCCACAAACTAAAAAGGCCTAGAAACAATGGCCATCAGTAGCATGACCCAACTGTGGTCTCTAAATACCATTAAAATAAACAAATGTATCTTGAAAAGATGGCTGATTAAAGGCCCAGAGCAGGAAACATAAAACATGAGCCTAGAATAACTTGTCAGAACAGAGAGCACGGAAGCTATAAAAGATTATGAGGGTCAAGTCAAAAAGACTATAAGCCAATGTAGGCTCTACTGACCAAAGTGGGACAACTTGAATTTCACTAATAATTCCAACAGATTTAAGCCTACAAAATAGGTTTAAATATATGCCTGCATAGTGATACTTTTTAAAAGAACTAGTTAACTTTGAAGAATAAGGAATCAATTAATCACATCAAAAACTAGAAAATAAAGGTAAAGGGCTTTTTTGACTTATTAAATGAATAGAGAATAGTGCATTTTCATGTTTGGCTGGGATGCTACAGTAGACCATTATTTTGTACAAAGTGAAATGGTAACAACTACTGCTGCTATAGG